ACGCCACCACCTTCCCATCGACACGAAGCCTCCCTCAGTCACAGAAATCTTTGAGAACATGGTTGAGACGTACTTTTCCCGTATCTGTGCTCTTCCACATTCCACACCGTGCTCTGGTGGTAGCCTTTGGACAGCTTCTCTCCAACCACCTCCAGCTGCCGGTATCCCCACTCGGGTAAAGACGCTCCACTGAGCTGGAAATGAAAGATGACTGTAAACTTACAGCCCTGCCAATTTGAACTTCAGGATGCAAGTTCCTAGGCCCTGCCTGAGCAGTGGATCACAGCAAGCGACTGCTAGAAAGGATGTGAACAGTCACCATGCAACACTGTCTCAACAAATGCCACAGCCGTAAGTTATTCTGGCAAATTCTGTGAAGAGATCCTTAACGATTCCAGCTGCTGTCACACACTACACACAGGCTCAGCATCCATTTCTGAGGCAGTAGTTAAGGCCCAGCTGAGTACAGTGGTGAGGACCTCCTGAGAAGCAGGACAGCTCTGCACGCTGAAAAGGAATGAAGTACCTGATACACACACTGCCCTTTTATCACACTGAGCAAGTCTATTGTTTCCTTTTATTTACTTATTTGATTATGTGTTTTACTGGTTTAGGAGTAGAGAGATGAGTTTAGTAGTTTATGAGATTACGAGAGCTGCATGGAGGAAGAGCACATAAACATAAATCCACTTGCCTTTAGCACTGCAGAGGTGTTCACGTGGACAAACCTCACTTCTGACAGAATTGTCTTCCACACATCCGTGTCAGACTGCCGATTTACAATTTCCTACAACAGAACGACGTCTTTTGATCGTCATGTTGTCTCAGCTGTTTCTGCTGGAACATGATGAGCTCCTCCCTTCCCTTCAGCCACTCACCACTCTCCAGAGGTTCTGTGCTGGCATGGAAATGTTATAATCGATATAGCAGGAAACTTCTTGGGAATGGGGGCTAAGAGGGGCAGCAACATCATGCCTAAAAGACAAGCAAAGGAAGATCCTCCAACACCAGCTCCCAAATTCATCTAAAAAGCAAACTCATAAAGGTATTGAATTGGCTTAGACCTGAGTCAGTAATAAAGCAAAACCAAGTAACTAATTTATACAGATTGCACTGTTTATTCTGAAAGAGAACACTCCTCGCTACCAAGAGCTGCCAGGAACAGGCTCTGAGGAAGCCGGTACAGATTCCTGCTATGCCAGGCTGAGAACAAGCACCGATTGTGACAAACAGAGATGCTGTTCACTGGGGTTTCCAATAACGAACAAATTAGGTTTGGAAGGGACATAGCAAAAAACCCAGGCTCAGAACAACCCCCTTCCTAATCCGAGTGATATTCAAGTACACGCAGACAGCCTTCAGGAAGCAGCCTGGAAGCAAAACAGGCAAGAATCCCTGGCAATCAGCCACAGCACACCGGATCCCCCCCAACACTTCTTCCTGAGTTTCAGAGCACATCTTTCATGCAGAGTATGCCATCAAAGCCAGTGGAGTTGACTTGGGTTAACGGTCACACAAACAAACTATGTTCATGTGCCTGGAGCAGAGGCAGTGAGGGGGCAAGGATGAAGAGTCACCCAGGGGACTATGTATTTAGGAATCTGTAGAATTATCAGGAATTGTGAACATGGGCAAAACCACCATTAGCCCCGCTAAAGGCCACTAGTAGAAAAGACCAGAAACAGCTCGCAGCCACTGAACAGCTTGGGATTAGTATCAAAACCCACTGCCAAGTCAACCGCAAAAAATAAATATGCGTACAGCATCCTTTCTCTGGGCTTATATAACTAACCACAGGACATGAGGTCCCTCCTAGCCCCACCATTTTAAGAATCCATGAATAACAGGCAGTTTCCAGCATATGTGAATGCTTCAAAGCCTAAACAGTTATTCTGAGATACAACAAAGCAGAAAGAGCCAGCAGGCTCAGCAGAGGATGAGGGAAGGACTTACGTGTTGAGGTACCGAGTCGTGATGCCATGGACCAGCTGCACGATGTGTCCGTGCTTGACAGGACGTGGTGGGTTACTCACCACCAGCTGCTGCCTGATGGAGTGACACCCAAGAGGAAGTGGTTACGTTCTTCTTTATATATAATGCAACCTTGTCGTCATGACCAAACTGTTAGGTCAAGAAGCTGTAGGCAGGGACATTTAGGCAGTAAGGTGAGAAATTAAAGCAATCTATAGGTTGTACCAGAACGGAAGCAAAGCTCATCAAGGTAAAGGTGAGTTAAGGGCAGGGTGACTCAGAGGATCGGTAATGGGATACCGACACCCCCGTCATTAGGTCAGTGGTCTCAATCAGGGTCAGCCAGGATTCTGAGTTCAGATTATTCCCACCACACAGCTGTTGGATGGATTCTGTGAAATGAGTAAGTGCTCCACTGAGGTCTGACAGGTGTTCAGACTACAACGGATGTCACTGTTGGCACAATTATAAAAGAGATCAGTGGCTATCTCCACCACGAAGACCAAACTCTCATCTGGCTTCCGGACAGGGCTAAGGCAAGTTTTGGCAAGGGGGAACGCTGCAGTTCACCTAACTGCTGCCTGTATTTTACTGTTCTATAGAAGGATTTCACATCCTCCAGGGCTCACATGAGTTTTGAGTTTGAAGAATTTTAAGAAGATACTGGGTTTCTGTGGGTCTGGTAGAGTCCCTGCTTGAAAGGTTTGCAGTAGGGACAAACTTTCCCAAAGTGGAAATGTTCTCTAATGGCAAACAGTCCTGCTGGTAGGGCTCTTTATACAGTTCCCAGTGCAATGTAAGAAACTTACAAAAGCAACTTTTTGAACAGTATGAAATGATATCACACAAGGGCTTTTACTGGCAAAACTACAAGAACAAAGAGTCCCACTCTCCACTGACAGTTACAATGGCAAAGCACTTCAGCACAAACCAGGCCTCTCAGACGCAGGCGCCCACTTGGAATCCCTCCCAATGCAGCAGATTCTACAGCTCATCCCACACTTTAAATACAAAGAAATACTCATTCTGCAAAAGTGATTTCTACTCTCTTCTCAGACTCATTCAAGTCTGACAAAACTCATCAAGGCACTCTAATGCCATGGCTCACACACTTCAAAAAGCAGAACTCCCCTTTCATGCAAAGCACCTGAAGAGTTCCCACTGGTCTCATGAGTCTTTGAAGTTCCCCTTGTGCACAGTACAGCCCACATTCTGGCAGGAGCAGTTCAGACAGAATTTTGGAGTCCTCAGTAATGCTTCTACCATATTGAGGAGGATGGTGCAAAGAGCTGCCCTTCCCAACTCTGCAGCTTAAATTACTTCCTCAGGATCACACATGGCCTCGATGCCCATAAGCAGAGAATAGTTCTGTCTAATCCAGCTATGCCCTGCTTAGGTTTTGATGGTGTATAGAAGCTATGCTTACAGCATTTAAATCTCTTGCGTACTCACATTCCAGGATCTTTGACAATCCACCAGTTATTCACATCCTTGAAGGGATAGCAGGTCACCTGCTGTTGATGGGAGCTACCCCGGCCATTCTCATACCTGTACAGAAGGTTAAAAAAACCCACAGGTGCTTAACAGTACATTTCTGTGCTCAACAGAGTTGCAGCAATACAAACCAGTACCACATCACTGGCTCCATTCCTACCGGGCACAGAGAATCTGTACATCCACAGTGTGCTCTTAAGGATTAAAGAAGAGATTTGCCAGGATCCAAACTGAGATACTCGGACTGGCAGGTGAAGAACCAGAGCATACTTTCATCCTAATAATACAGATCCAACCAGATTCCTCACCTGATAGGATAAGTATTCATATGAGAATGGAGCCAACACTGCACGGGCTTGCCCAGCACGTTCCGCAGAGTAATCTGAGAGCCGTAGGCCACCTCTAAGGGCTGACCCTGAGTGATTCGAGCCAGTCCACCCTGCAAAGCACAATGATAGGATAAGTGGAAGGAAGAAGAAACAACCCAAAGGCTGTCTGAAGTCTGTTAAGAGTCACCTGTCACTTTAACATAGCCGTGTCTTAGCACAATGCCTTCTCATTTGGTTGTATCTACAAAAATCAAGTCTCGCAGCACCATCCTCAGCAGACAGTAAACACACCAACGCCTAAAGCCATGTTGTTCTAAAAGACAGACTAAGCACTCTTCTACAGAAAATCATACTGTCATCCTGTACTCCACAATGTCATCACTTAATTGTTCAGTACTGTATCTACTTCTGTGGAGTTCCCTGTAGCAAGGGACAAATCTTCATCAGAAGAGTGAACATATTGTTCTTGGTTCACTGAGAAAAGCTTTTCATCCGTTATTAGGATTTCAGTCAATATTGTTTCATCTTAAAGCAGTACTACAGCAGCAAAGTGGTTAAATGACATAAACAGAACAAACAGGCAAGATCCAAGGAAGAAGATTGCACACCTTTCTTCTAATAGTGAACACAAGATGGATTTCCCCCTCTTCTCCCTTAATAAATCAGTTTCATGACCACACTTCCTTTACCTCTAAGCTGGCTTGGAAAGCACTTGTCATAATCTGGTCATGGGGCCCGGAGCGATACAGCAAAGTCAAGTGAACATAGAAGAAGGACAGGTACACTGCCATTGGGATGATGACGAGGGCCAGTCCCCTTGCTAGAAAATGGCACACCAAGGAAACCTAGAAGAACATCAAGAACTCAATGGTTTCATGCTCCAGATATTAAAAATATTAAAAATACCAGTGCATCTGGCTTGTTGTGTTTGTCTTTTTTAAGTTTCCCCAACCACCCTCATTCAGCTATAACTTTGAGGACAGCTGGATAATTTCCACTGAGGATCTGAACTGGAGCCAGCAGGAGGTCTGTGAAACAGTACAGGTTTTGAGCCACAAATCACCAAGACATGGGTAAGAGCAGAAAAGCCAGTCACACACACACGCTTATCTGAAATTTAACTCCATCTCCTCCAGCAACTGAGCTGGGAAACTGTTCTGTGATATGAGGGGTTGCAGACTATTACAAGGAATTTTAGTACAGAAACCATCTACAGACAGCATTGTTATCTGTGGGCTTGCAAAGCTCCTGGCTGGCTCCTCCACTGAAAAGTCACACATAATATAATTTGTATGTTGTGCTACCTACGTTTGAGAAGTTCTGGTCTCCTATCATGTGCCAGAAGTGGAGTCCTGCGATGGCCAACAGCAGCATATAGGTAAACAAGCCCATATATTTCACTCTGAGAAGAAAGTGCATAAAAAATGAACACAGTTAAAAACTACACATAAACATTCAAACTTGCTCTTGAACGGTTCTTGAACAAGAACTTAGATCCATGACAAGTTTGGTACAACACTATAAAGAAGCTTCAAGGCTTTGACACCAGAAGGTAGCGTTTGTTTGCCAATTACATTAAATAACCACAGTGACTGAGAACCTTGTTGATAACAAGGTAGCAGATCACAAAGCACAGAGTCCCTAAATTCAGGCTTACTGAAGCTTGAGGCAAGTAGAAGGGACAGGTGAAATGCAGATGCTATTTTGTAACATAAAGCCATCCCTGAGAAACATGTTTTGTTCTTCACAGGACCATACCCACTGTGAATGAACATCCTCTCTATAGAAACAACCTAACTCATTAAAAAGTCAAGGAGATGTCTCCTCAGAACAGCACAAAGAATCAGTCTTGAAAATCCCAAGCCCCACTGACACCTCAGATGGCAGGGAGGAAAGTCAGCTTACTGAAACAAAGTAAGACATCATCACTTACCCAACTGCACAAGAACAAGCTACTCCAGTCAAGAGGAGCCAAAACCACCAGCTTCCAGAGAAAGAGCTTAAATAAAAGGACAAAGGAAAGCATGCTATGGTGAGATCTGGGCACCTTCTCAGGATCCTGAATTCAGGTAATTTAACTTGAAAAAGCTTGCAGGATTCCCCTATTCCTTATTCTACACACAGGTATCTCATTCTGAACCTCCATGCCACCAGCTCTCAGCCCTGACCTACAGGGTGTTGTTAAATGTACTTCTCTGTATCCTGAAGAGCAAAACTGAGCGCGCTACCTGCCTTCTGCTACTACAGACAAAAGAAATGTATTCAATCACTTGCTGGACTCAGTTTGAAGATAATTTTACTTTACTAAAAGTTGCAGACCAGTGAAGTGACTTACAGGAAAAAAAACACACTGTGACAAAAAAGAGTCACCACAAGAATATCCAAAAGGATGGGAGACAATCCAGCTTTACCTGTGCCTTTGTGAATTGTAGAACTTCAGGTAGGATAAAACTGCAAGTAGGATAAAAAAAATCAATATTGATTCCAGAAGCATGAACCTTGACTGAGTGATCAATGAGTTCTCTGTTGGAAAAGAGAGACAGACACAAAATTAGAGAAACTTATCTATAGGCAAATGCTACCTCAGACAATCGCATCGTTATCCAAGAGAAGGGCCGGCCCCTTTAAGGACAGCACATTCATTTGCAATCTTACTGGCTGTAATAGGGAGGTGTTGGGTTTAAAGGGACAAAAAAGTTCCAGCAGGAGCAAAGTGCATGGCAATAACTGTCTCCAAGGACAAAGAGGTGGGGGCAAGTAGTAAAGTCTGGCAGGAGGCAGATAAAGGTGCTGCACTTGCCTACAAAGGCACAAAAAAAAAAAAAATCAGTGCTGGGAAATCCAGAGAGGTGCTTTTCAAGGCAAACAGAGCAAGGCAGTGACCCCGGCAGGCAATGAGCATGATGATAAATCTTCGAGAAAGGGAGCTGCAATGAGCTGCTTTGTGCAGGATTCCCTGAGCCAGGAGCAGCCGGTAGCTAGGAGAGGTTTCTCTTATCAGGCTGCCAAAAGGCTGTTGAGAGGAAAAAAAAGGCAGCTGCCAGCAGGACTCTCAGAGGAAACAACCAAGTGAGTTATACACACCAGAATAGTGTCAAATCATGGTGCTAAGGGCACAGACTGGTTTGCTGCAGTTTTGAGATGAAGAAATTAGATGAGCTCTGACTTTAAGGAGGGTCGTCCCGCTGTTTAGAACCAGCTCGTTGTAACTCACCCTGTAAACCTCTGAGAAAGAAAGTACAGGTCTCCTTGGATGCAAGAAATGTGGGTTTCTGTGAGGCTTTTAAGGCTGCCCGCTTTGCTAATAATGAAATGAACTTGTCTAAAGCCTCGGCCTGTAATGGCAACCTGCTGCAGAGCTGTAAGGATAGAGGGGACCACAGACACTCAGCAGAGACTGAGAGAGGCCAGGGCTGAAAGCGGGCTCCGAGGTGTTGTTAGCATTCTACTCCAGCCTTTTATGCACCCTAAAAATTCACAAGGGGAAAAGGGACCCTTCTTCCCCTGTATGAAAAATGGAGCTCATGGGAATAATCCTACCTAAGAGAATCAGAAGAGCAGCCCCAAGTGCAGCACAGTGGGAGAACTGCAGTTCTACCAGAATCTGGTACGCTAAAGGCACACAGAGAGCACCGGCCAGGGCTGGCAGGAGTCGCAAGGACCACACAGGAACGTTCATGCTATATTCTGAAACAGGAGACAACAGTGATGCACAAATTCTGAAACTATTAATTGCAGAGAACATGGATCAATACAGAACTCCTTACAAGAAGTTGCTGAATATAACTCCTACTCTTACTAATTTATTGTCCATCTTGTATTGCTTAAACTGTTTTAACTGATTTTAAAAGTCTGTGCTATGGAATCAAGCGCCTTAAACTCCTGTTAGAGACCCACAGAAGACTTATTTAGGAGGAGAACTGAAGGTGTCAGATAAAGCATTATTTCCACTAGTCAGGCAGAAGGAATCTGTCAGCCGCTGAAATACAGCTCTTTTTCTCAAAAGAATGAGACAGTTAAAATCAGCTCTTACCAGCTCCAATCCTGTTCCATAAGAAGTTTCCATCAAATCCTCCTAAGTAACCTACAACATAAGCAACAAATCAGAACTTCCAGTGCCAAGTATAAAAACTGGTGCTAAAGTGGTCCTGCAACCACTTCTCAAACACAGAGCTCTTCCACACATGAAAGCCCTCTTTCCCAAAAGGGTCCTCTTTCGTACTGTTTTGCCTGCAGCAGTGCTTGATAATGTGCAGAGACACAAAGAATATAAATTGTGAACAACAGATTCTCAGTGACAAAGTTACATGTATATTTAATCTCTCCTTCCCATCCAGACCCTTTTATGTTGTGCATATCCCACCTACAGAAAGGAACTCAGGCCTGAAAGTCAGCTTGTTGCCTCCTATTTCTCATCACTAACATAGCTCTCACCTTATCTTTCTCTTTATCCAAAGGACTGCATAACAATGAGGTAATGGATACATGGCTCCATCACCTCCCCAGCACTCATGCAATAGCCTCCTAAGGACAGTAAATAAGGGAAATTCTAATTCTCCCTACATCAGAACCTCTCAGCTGCCTTGTGCTTTTCCCCAGAAACAGGATCTGACAAATCACTTCTATCCAGCACTTCTCTCTTCCATAGCAACTGGCAACAGACACGTCCCACTTTCAGGAGACGCCCTACCTCCCAAAGCTAGCAGCATGTGCCCAAAAGGTGGGCCGCTGTCATCCACGAAGAAGATCCTCTTCATGTAGAGGGAAACGAATTGGCCATAATAAACTTCATCGAAACTGAAACACAAGAGGCAGAAGTGTGTCAAATCTAACTGGAAGTATCCTGCAGGCTACAGGGATACTAAGAAAGGAAACAGTGATTTACTGGCAGAAAGCTAAGAACACAATGAAGCTTTGCCTCTTCACCTTCTCCTCAATAAGTTTATATTAATTTTTTAATTTTATTTTTATTAATTTTTTATTTTATTACATTTTCTCTAATAGAAACTAGGGAGTTCCTATTCAGGAAACACTATCACCGTATTTAGAGAAGCTGACATCACGCAAGCTCTGCTCTTCCGCTCATGCATTCTTACTTGTAAATGTTTAAAAAACAAAAGTCTGTGTCATTCAAGTAGAAAATAAACTATTCTACTCACACTACAGCCCGTGGATAGGAAAGCCCCCAAAGACGGCTTATTAATCCCATCACAGTCAACGCCACGAGGTTCATATTTATCTCCACAGTAACCACAACTGGGTTCTTCAGAAATCCCAACATCCTGCCAAAGGTCTGTCCAAACCTCCAAGAGCAAACAGAGAGGAGCAGCAGTCACCCTTTTGCTCAAAGCTAGCTTTGAGCATTTGACAGAAAGCATGCACCACCACCTTCTGCTACTAGCAGCTCATGGTAACTCATCCACCGAAGTTCTCTAGCTTTCCACATTTATGTGTTTTCTGCTGTATCTACAGGAATAACTCTAAAAGTGAAGTTACCAAACTAACACACTTAACTGTTCATCTATCTTGCTTCTACATGCATATAGTTCTCTGTCATCAATAGTAAACTCTTCTCATTCTTACACTGGTTCTGCAGAAACATAACAGCTTAGTTTAAGCCTATATTCTGCTTTGTGCAAAGCAAACCTCCCAGCCCAAACTCTGATGCTACTGATAGGAAAACCACATATTCAGGCACCAAGCTGCATAGGGAACTTTAAAAAAAAAAAAAAAGTTTCTTCCTTTCAAACTCAGTGGATTTCTTGGGGGGTGGGAGGGGTGTGTCAGAGGGAGGAGGGCAGAACCCACAACCATCCTCTGTCTCAAAAAGCTGGCTGCTGGCGCACAGGTGTGGCTGCTGTAGGGTTCTAGCGCAGCCTAGGGGAGCGCTGCAGGAAGCAGGACTGAACTCCACTCCTCTAGGCAGAACTGCTAAAAGCTAGGTCAGAAAATAGTAGGGAACCAGAGCTGTTATCTCCTCACCTCAATATGACTGAAAGTTACTGGAATAAATCCATCTGCACAGCTTTGACCAGGGAAGAACAAAGCAAGATGTGAGCTCATCACCACCATCCAGTGCGGTGCCACTGTCCTTGTTTCTCACTACCTACAAAACACAAGTGCTGTTCAGCTGCGCATTACCCTGGGAAACAGAGGTTTGTAAGAAGTCCCTTGCAAAGCTGTGCTCCCGACTGGCCCACTTGCCTTTGGACGAGGGCAGGCCATCACCGCCACCCTGCCATCACCTCGCAGGCCCCAGGACCCCAAAGACCACCCTGATGGAGAACACCCTGCTTCTCCCTGCTGCACAGGGGCCCCTGGGGAAGGACTGCAGCACCATCCAGCCCCCCAACCCTCACACACCTCCTCAGGGACGCACCAAGCCCTCTACCAGGCTTTGCATCCCCCCCGTGAGCCTTATGAGGGGGCTTGCAGGCCCACCGATC